GAAATATCTGCAAATAGAAACATAATGGATGTTTTATAAGACTTACAATTGACCTCTGTGATCTCCATATCAGGGGAGGTCAAGTAATACTGCTCACACAGCATCTTTGAAGTCTCATAGGCATCTACAAAGTGAAACAAAACAATCTGTGGTTACATTTCAGTGTGAGAAATGAATGACAACTTATGCTGAATGGGAATTTGAGTGAACCAGTTTACACAACATTCACAGGTGGGTCTACAATAGCTACATCCATAATGATAACATCATCTCCCAGTGTATATTTACTCTATAAATATTAGCTGACTGTAAAAGTTCAAAGAGTCATGAATCCGTACAGACAGAGGGTGCTGGAAAGCAGATAATACATCCAGTGTGGGTGTGTGTATGTATGTGTGTGTGTATGTGTGTTAAAGGTAAAGAAGATCATTCATTACCTTTTACTACCTCCACAACGTCACAGCTGGGGTCAATGCTGCCAATATGTTTGGGATGGGCTGGGTTCACGCTGCCGTTGAAGATTAATGCTAGAGGGCAGAACAACAAACACTGTGTGTGATTCAAAAAAACAAAGCTGCATCGGCATGACAGTCACTTTTCAGATGTATTACTCAATCAGAACAACAGAGGTGCTGCAGAGTAGGTGTTGACTGTGTGGTACTTTTGTACAGCAGTCCAATCTTTAACATGACTGAGATCACTTCTTGGTGCTTAATCAGATTTTTAAAAACATGCCGTGACAGAGCCCCTTCTTCTTGCTGTCAAGAATTTTCAGCATACTGAGTGTAAATCAATGACGTGAGCTGTGAGTGATAGCAACTGTGTTGATTAACTCACAGTCAATCACATAGTGCTATACTGACTGTGCTGGTTCATGAGCATGCGTGTGGAGATGCGGCTCATGTAGAAGCGGTCCAAGAAGTACTGAACGTTCTGGTTGGTGACGGGGTCCACGCCGAAGGCCTCCTTGTACTCCACCACACCCTGAGCCATGGTGGGCACCACATTGTTGTGCCGGTTCCGGACGTTTACCAAAGTCTGTGTGAAGCTGAGAGCAAAGGCGGTGATGATGAATGTGTTGGTATGTGAGGGTAGGTACAACAGAATATGTGCACGTCAGCATAAACATGCCTGCTAAACATAGCATAGCATAACATGTTGTACATACATATATAACAGGGCCATAAGATCATTCTCCAATAAACATATCAACCCATCTGCGGATATAGGTAACAATAACAAAGTTTGCAGTGTCAGGTTGAAAATGGGAAGTTAACAAGTAATTACAGGATTGTTGGATTAGTATTGACAGTTTCTGAATAATCAACAAAGTGGATTGCTAACAGCAACAAAACAACAATAAATACGTTCTTACAGTGTATATAAGCATTGCATGCTGGAAAGAGTAAATGACTTACTTTGACAGGACATCCTTATCATCTGGATTTTTCTCTAAAAAATCTACAAGCTCCAACAAACTTTGTGAATACCTGGAGGACATAAAGAAATACAGAAAATTCTCATCTCTGTTTTTTTTTTTTGTTTTTTTTGTTTTTTACAAAATGAGCTCCAATATGATTAAAAAAACATCTATGGTGATTTCATTTACATGAAACTCCAAAACTACTCTGAGTGGTCAGCATCGAACTTTATTTATTTAGACAACTAGAGCAACTGAATAATTAAACATAGAGCATGTTCACATGATTAACAACACTGTCCCTCCTTTAGTTTACTGTAGCTTGTTCCATCACAGACTTTTTATCTAGGCCAGTGGACGAAGAAGACTTGAGTGCTGAGCTCACTGAGTCACACTCTCTCTTGCACTGTCTCGCTGTGGAAAAACTGGGTGAAAGGTGAACGGCAGGGTGGCTATGCTTTCTACGTGCCAGGTTTGTCCCTCAACCGACCTTCAGCTCTTGATTTTGTATTAAGTGCCGCCATGCAAACAGATGTACATCTTATAACAGACTACTTTGCAACATTGGTTTTTGCAAGGTTGCCATGAAACACCGAGATGTCACCTCTCTCCCCTCGTAAACAACATTAACAAAATGATTGATCAACTCTTTTGCAGGAAATGCAAAGAGCTCTGCAGCAGGGGGAAGAGAAAGTCACGGTGCAGGAGGGAGGCTACGTGGCCAAATATAGACACTACTGTGGCGCTTATGAAAACAGTGGGAGTGGGGTAATGACCTCTGTTGTCATATCTTCACGTGACTTGTACACCAAACATAATCAACATGCTAGGGCATGCAGTCTGCAATGTAATACTGTGTTTTAACATGGTTGTACTGGGAAGTGGCAGCTGAGGTGGAAAAACAAACTCCAAGTAGTGAAAGTACACAGAAACAGGACCTCTGTTTTGGCTTTAGAGAAAAGCCTGCACCTATTCTTTGCTGTTTACAGTAGAAGCTGGAGGTAAAAAAAAAAAGGGGAGTAAAGTTGAATCCAATATCCAACATTCACTGGTGTAAACTCTATCCCATTCTACAAACACACTCCTGTACTTAGGTGCACCATCAATGTTTATAGCGTTTCACTCTTTAGATATTGCACTTAGTGAACCTTGAATTGGGTGTGTACATGCAGGGTCACATATGCTGGTTCAGCTCTACCTGTGTGTGTTATAAAGACCTATTACATAAACATAATACAGACATTAAACAGGGACAGGGAGGCTTGTTGGTACATCGGCTAGGGCTGAACAATTTATCAAAATATTATTGAAATCACAATAACCAAATAGCACGAGCTGCAATTTCTCGATAAATGTAACAACATACCATTATAAATGAAGCATTGTGGTGGTACAGAGATGCCCAAGTCTACAAATCAGATCCTCCAGACATAAAGGAACGTTCCCTTACATAATTTTTATATTTTTTTCAGTGAAAATGAAATGAAAAAATGACCATTTACACTAAAATTGTAAATCATTATAATCACAATATTGTCACATTAATGTCAATGTCTACGTCATGTTCATTTCAATATGGTTTTTTTGCATATTGTTAAGTCCTAGCATAAGCCTTATCTAATTCAAAGAAAGATCATAAAACACGTTCACAGATCTGTGGCATCTAGCTATCTTATGAGTCCACACAGGACAGGTGGGTGAGGGAGGAAGGGATTTCATGCATCTTTAAACAGAACAGAGTGACCTCATACAACCTCAGACAACCTCAACAGCAATGCTTTCATCCAATCAAATAAGCATGTGACAAGCGCTAAGTTCTCCAAAACTAACACTAGCACAAACTAACACTGCTGCAGAAAGGTGAAGGAAGAGATGTTGGAAAACTAAAATTTCATTAATCCCAGAGATTAGTAACAATGATTGTGGTACAACAGATTATATAGAAAGAGACGTTTGTTCAGTCTGAAGATCCTACCAGCTGGTGAGGAGCTTAAGGGATGGAGTGCTGAGGAGTTTGTCAGGGAGGAAATCAATTTCCTTCATGATGTTGGCCAGTCTGACAGGAAGCTCCTGACGCAGGAACACAAATGATGTCTTCTCACATGCATTGGCCGAGCCTGCGGTCACATGAGGGACAGAGTCAGGAAAAAAAGAAATGACTGAGTAAGCATCCAACTTCGACCCCATCCTGTAAATCCTCAGAAACAGCAACCTGTCCCAAGCATTGACATTTGAAGGAAATCTGTCAGGAATCATTTGTCTTTCTTTACATGAATCTATTACGCAAATGATATGGAAAACCATTAAGAAAATATCAGCATTTTTTCTGTTTTTTTGCTGATCTTGTTTGTCATTGCAGGATTCAGTCACCCAAACCAAAAGTGGTCATTTTAGATTTTATGTATAGTAAGAGACACAATCAAACATCTGAGAATCAGATCAGCATATGTCTGCATGTGTATTTTTCTGGTGTTAGCAGCAGTAGTCTATCAATGACCAGAATAGTGCGAAGTCAGCTGTCACCACACACAAAGAGAATGGGAATGTGAATTGTGCAACAGCAATGTGAGTGTGGGAAAAACACTTCGTAACATGCACTGTCCGACAAAAATCAATGCTACTCGTAACGCTTACCAAAGTCAATGAATTGCTTCATAGACAAGGGAGAAGGGGAAAACTTGGAAAACCTCTCCACTTGTTTCGGTATCCCAGCTACGGAGCCGTTTTTCAGCAAAAACTGAGCGAACTTCATTTTTCCTGCCCTTCATAGACCCCAAACTGTCAGTGTGTTAGGGACAAACTGTGCTTTCTTTCTCCAGCACGCTCCAGTTTGACGACTTTTGGCTAGCAAGGCTAAAGCTCGGCGTCGTACAAGAATCCCTCCGTTAAATTAACATCTTTAAGGAGGCTGGCTATAACTTCCCCATCACTGTTTTTCTCAGGCAGCTCCCCCGCATCTTGATGAGTGTCCTCCTTCGAAGGCAGTTTACTACACGGAACGTTGTGTGTTGTCTCGGACGAGGCGGAGAGAAGAGATTGACATCAAAATCAACCAATGAGCGGCAAGATGACGTCGAATCCCTCTCTCAAATGTTGGATCCAGACAGTGTTGTGAAATCGCAGAATATTTTATTACAGCATCCCCTACCGACGAGCTATCCGAAATACTTGTTTATTTTACATATTTGAACGCTTACCGAAATTAGACTTGTCCGTATGTCTAATAACTGCACGGGTCTTCATTACAGACACACCGGAACCAGCCGTTGTAACGAACTTAACTGACTTCACTGGCAGCTGCTTCATTTTCTAGTTAAATGTTAATGCGCCGCAGAGTTAAACTCACTAAACTTTCGGCCATGAGTTACAGCATGTTTGCAAGGCTGGAAACACAACAGACGGGCTCTTAACGCTTCAGTCTCCTCATGAAAAGTATCAACATTTGTTTATTTGTTAGTTTATTTGTTAGCACTTCTACAACTGCCCACAAGATGGCGGCGTTGCAAAACCCATGAGTCGATGACACTGCGTGTGTCAAAGGAGGTGGGATTTTGTCTCCTCCTTCTCTACATCATCCCACTCCGCCTAGGGATGTATCGGCGTGCAGTGCACCTGTTTTATGTTGTATTCGGGTCATCGACCGCTGAAATGCTGTGTTTTAATCAGTGTCATCAATAGCCACACGAAAAGGTTGAAAAGACCTATTCGGTGGTAGCCGAACGGCCTCGACTCAGTGTGATTCAGGTGGAGGATGTGCTGATTTCCTTCGGGGTGCAGCAGTGAGACAGCATCTTTACCGGGTGACACATCATTATCAATACGAGTGGACAAGGTATGAGTGAAACAATAACAGTACATTATACGGTTATTTGGCATAAAAATATTCCCCCTTTTTTGCCAGCTGACGTTACTCGTTATCAAATTCACTAGCTGTAATATTTATGGTAAGGCCCTAAACGCATTGCCAGAAGTAAATGCTGTTAAAATTTTGATTAGCTAACGTTAGCTGCGAATGCATTTATTTCCTGCTAACCTTAGCCATTTAAAGGGACTATATCAATGTAACTTGTGATCTGTTATGAGGATACTGTGTATGTGTCACTTTTCTTAATGTTGGAAGACATAATGGCCTTTGGTTATTTTCTCATATTTGTTCCAAATAGCTTTGGTAGACGCTTTTAAACCTTCAGGGTCAAGTCCTTTCGATTCATTTGCTGTGTCTGACAGATGTGACACTGGTCTAATATCCAGCAAGTCAGGGTGCACACTGCTATAAATAGGTAGCCCACCTTTCTGTAGCAACTCAGGCATAATGAGCCTGATACAAGATCCCAATCATAAGGCTACATTAAGTCTGTTTTCATTCTACTTAAGCTTAGTTATCTTCTTAATTGTCTAGTGGCAATACAAGTGTTGCGCTTTTGAACTGTTCCTATAAAATGGTAATGAAATTAGAGTATTGTCATAAACATGGTGAGTTATTTGATAACCATGTTGATTTGACTATGGAACCAATCAGAAGAAGTGGTGGCCTATATATGGCCAACATACACAGAACTAGTTCCTCTGGAATAACCAAAAGTGTCAAACGAATGTGGAAATCCTTTTCCGCTCACTGTGACCTAGTATTGACAGCTGTTTTGCCAATATCAAGTCCTTATTGATTGATGAGCCTGCAAGGTTATGGATCTACTGTATATGGCTGTATAACTCAGTGAGTTTTCTGAAGAATCACTTAGGCTCATTGGATGAACTGATACTCCACCATACTGTATCATGTCAAAATGAGACCAGAGCACATTGTGACAGTGTCGTACTAGCTCATTCCTGTTTGATCCTCTTACTTGAAGCCCCCCCCCATACAACACCATGTCGGACAAAAGTGACCTAAAAGCAGAGCTTGAGCGCAAGAAGCAGCGCCTCGCCCAAATCAGGGAGGAAAAAAAGAGAAAGGAGGAGGAGAGGAAGAAGAAAGAGGTAAGGAAAAAAGTGAGTAAATTCACACTACTGGCACTCATACTGTATCACTCTCTAGTTTGTATTGTTTGTGTGTTCACTTGCTCCTTGTCAGGCCGTGACACTTAAAAGACTGAGGTGTGTGTCTATGCGTGCATACAAACATCTATGTGTGTGCAGAAGGTTGGTGTTGGAATTTTTAATCAAACTGTGCATGCACACGTGCATGTTTTAACTGTAACTCATGATGGGTGAGCTGCGAACCTGTTCTTTAATTCATGATGTGTAAGCTGACATTCCTCTATGTGTCCTGTGCAGACAGAGAGCCAACAGAAGGCAGAGGTGACCCCAGAGGATTCAGACTTAGACCGTAAGCGCAGAGAGACCGAGGCCCTCTTACAGAGTATTGGCATATCACCGGAGCCTCCTCTAGGTACATAATACTTTTATACCATAAACAATAAATCAGTCCTTCTCTTGTGATTGTGATGGAAAAGGTTTTGTAAATTTTTACTAAAGTAAAAATTACCCATATAGGTCTAAAATTACAGCATTAATTACAGCCAAAAACATATGAGAAACGGTTTAATGGTCAGCCTATACTTCATAATCATATAGCAGACCTAAGATGCATGCAGTAACCTATGGTACATGTAATTTGGTGAAAATTATCTGTCCAATCCTGCCTTACTGATAAGGAAATGATCAAAAACTAAAGCATGTTATCATCTGTGTTGCCATAACTCTGCATTATATAGTACCTGTGTTTTTATTTTATTTCATTCATTTATTTATAAAAGTAGTAGTTTTGTCACATATAATATTTTATCAGGTTTCATCACATTACACTGTCTTTTTTATCCTAAGTTGATTCCATGATTTGTTGCACACATTGTGGTTGGACTGTGCTGAACATTACTTTACTTTGATGTGTATTTTTTTATAACAACTTCCTTTTATCATCTTTTTCTGTTCCACTGTGTACCTTGAATGTATTATTATTACTTACAATAAGGTATTTGGACATAAATAGCATTTTACTCAGAAATTTGCTGTTCAAAAATGTCTTCCCTTTTACTTGTGCACAAATCACCAGCAAACTTTTGGAAGCACTGTTCTCTAGTGGTCTGAAATTGTAACAACACCCTTAACACCTCAGAACTGGGTCACTGCTTTGCCTGTTATTAGATGAAGTTATTTATAATGCATCTTTAAATACAGCTGAATACAGATTACTAGTACATACAAAATCAACAATGCATTTGATACCCTGCCCTTCCTCTCTTTTCTTTTAAACATTTATTATATTTGTCCATCACTCATTTTACTTTATTGCTTCTCATCCCAATTTTTCGTTGAGCAGTCCATTCTTTGCAGCCTTTAATGTTAGATTCATGTTACTTTCATTATTTAGTCCCGACCCCTGTGTCCCCCTCCAAATCAGTGAGCACACCCAGTGAGACAGGGAGCCAGGACTCAGCTGATGGCGGGGCAGCAGGCAGGTAGGCCAAAATCACACACTTCATACCAGAGTTCAGTGTCTTTCTTGTTGGATGGGTTTCATTCATCTCTTTGTGATAACTTTGAAAAAAGAAGTCATTTTTTAAGTATTAGCCCCTTTTCTGAGGTTTGGGTTAAGAAAAAATATTTTTAAATTCCAAAGCTGGGTAAAATGTCTCAATAATTTCTCACATTCTTATATTAGACAAAACTAAATGTTAGATGCTCATGTAAATGAGACAAGACACTAGGAAACTGTACTAGAAGGCACTGCACACGCTCACATACCAGGCATGTTCTTTGAGAGTTTAATAATAATCAGTATGAGGAAGCACAGTCTTTAACTTGAAGGCAAAATGTGGCCTAAATAAGATAATTGTCCTTTTTGACACACATTCTGTCTCTTTTCTTGTCAATTGCACAACAGGTTTAGGTAAGAATAAGTGTCACTATTGGTGAGGTTGTGGTGCCTTGTTAGGTTCTGAATGTGGTATCTGTCATTTGTCATGACATCCTGTGTTTTGATGACCACTGTACAGCTCGTTGCTTCTCATAACTAGCTAGCAAAATTAAGTTAGATATTGAGGTAAGTTTCAGATGGAGATGTTTTTGCAAAGGAGATGTTAGTTTGGAAATACTGAGAGATTCACATAGGTAAAGCAGCCCTTGTGAAGCAGTTAATGGAATATGTTTGGAATATAGAGCCTAAGGGGCATGAACCATACATTTGCAGGTAAGCAGCTGATTTGAGCACAAGTGACAAAATGTAAGGTTGTCACCTTGTGTCACTGTTCTGTAGGGTGCATTCACAGTTCTTACAACACACTCATAACACACCAGACCGGTGCATAAACCAATTATCTTTAAGGTCTGCCCTTGGCTGCTTTGGAGAATTAAACCTGCCGTTGAGAAGGGAGTGGTCATCAAGCGCTTTCCATTTGCTTTTTAATGGTAGCGGACTGTATGGTCAATGTGTGAGGGACGCCCTCAGGGGTCATTAGTGATGTGTTGTTCTGGTATGGCCAGGGGTGGAATTGGGGATGAACAAAGTTCCTAGCAGAAATCAATTCTCTTATATAATACTTTTTGTTTCTTTTGAGCTTGTACCAGATTTGTACAAATTGGTGGGTTAGTTCCAATAAATGGAATGAAAGAGTTTTTTCCCCCAAATCCACCCTGGATGATGGCATGCCATTTTGAGCTTCTCCATTTGTGGCTGTGTATGTGTGTGTCCCTTCTTAGGTCAGGTTTCTCTAAAAACAAGTCCCAAGCACAGAGCACAAGGTAAGCATTTTCATGTCAAACCCAGGAACCCCCCCCTCTACTTTTCTTTAGCAGAGGTTATCCTCATGTGAACACAGAGAGGCACCAAATCGTTGTCAGTGGTCTTACCAATTTGTTCTCATCATTATTTATAAGATCCAAACAGTGCAGTGCCTCTCTTACCTTCATTCCTCCACTCTCCTCTGGTGACTTCCTGTCTGAAGCTGTGCTGTCTCCCTTAATACCAGCCTAAAAGATTGCTGCTTGCATGAGTTGAGCCACAAAAGTCATTTCAGCCTTCACAGAGTTGACAATCAGCTGCTTAAAGTGTCATCGCTGTTACTGTAAAACAGACAGTCTGTCAGGCTAAAGAGATGCTTTGCCACTCTCACCTGGTCCTATGTGGCACCAGCTGAAGGCCTAATGGTCGTGTTCCTTGGCCGTAAAAGGTATCATCAAAAAGTGTATCGGTGTTGGAAGTGTTATCCTTTCACAGCTGGTAGACTTCATCCAACTCGCCATAAAATTCTTTAGGTTTCAGTTTCTTTTTAAACTCCCTGCAAATAAATAATTCTTCCCTCCCCAATGTAAAACAAGCTAGAGCTGCTGAACAACCACAAATGCACTGAATGAGCTCATGGTTTGTCAAACTCATTGATCACGCATGGCAAGTATATTGTCATGTGTGCTGAGCAAGCTAAATCTTTATATACTGATTTATTTTGATTTTAATATGCTGAATGTAAATATGTCCAGTGTGTGTTTAGTGTATGTTGTTCTGTGGGTATGAAATGTAAATCATGTTGCTGAATACATTGTTCATGATTTTCATGTATTATTTGGCACAGTTTTGCATATGAAATATCAGGACACAGAATGTCACACAAATCTAATCCAACATGCATAAATGACTGATGTGACTTAAGTAAACATAATGCTAAAATCAGATACTGATTAAAAAATGAATATAAACATTTCAGCAGAGCCCATTTACAAAAGTCACCAGGTCATCTTATAGCTTTTCCATTGACAAGAATCAAACTATTTTCAACTAGATTCCTGGCACAAGACCAAGAACTCTATCACAAAAGATGAGCAGAGATCTTTAAATAAATAGAGGACATTGATGTATAATGAAATATAATGTCTCCCTAATGTATAGCCCTCCCACGCTATATCCACTTAGCTAAACATTTTTCCATTAACAGTGCCATCTTTGCATGAAATTCGATGGGAATTTCCGTGTTAAGCTGTTCTCTAGATAAGTGGTGTGTGGGTGAGTGTGAGTGTGTGTGCGCATACATGTGGTAATATGTGTTGTGGTAATATGTGCCAATCATACATGTGTGCCAGTGTTTGTGTATTTGTTACAATGTGTCTGTTTGTAAACATGCATGTCCTCTCTTGCCCCGCCCCCTGTTGGTGACATCAGGACTCTGCAGTGGGACACAGACCCCTCTGTGCTGCAGCTGCAGGCTGATTCTGAGCTCGGGTACATTTTCCTCCTGTCCTCTTGTTCACTGTCTGACAAAAAAAGAAATAAAGATCAATAGAAAGAAAGCCACTTTATGTGGCACTGCATGGCATGTGCAAAAGATGCTTGATTTTAATTTAATAGTACATTTTAAGGATAAATGTACATGTGAATAGAACCACTTTAATAACGCAATCCTCTGATAGCTGAGCTAGTTGTTACAACAGACTGATCTGATCTGACACTGATCTCTCTACACTATTTATTTCTGTAAACTTTGGACAAATGGACATATGTTTTAATCTAAAAAGGACAATTTGGGTTTAAGCACAATATAACCATGCTAATGATAACATCTTGTTTCTGTTACCCAGGCGGAGGATGCAGAGGCTGGGGGCCTCTAAGATCACACAGGTAGACTTCCTTCCCAAAGAGGTGGTCTCTTACAGCAAAGAGACACAGACGCTCACCGCCCACCTGTCTGAAGGTGAATATTTGTGTGTGTGTGTGTGTGTGCGCGTGTGCATGAGGGACTTTCAAGAGTATTCTCTTGACATTCCTTATCATCCATAATTTTTAGAATAAAACAATCTAAGATTCAAACGGTTTTTAGGATCTATGGGGGCACCAAAGGTTACAGGAGGCAACATATGGTTTCACATTGCAATGATTGTTGTCGTTGTGTGGTTGAATCTGATACTCCTTCGGTTAGCTAGTTCACGGCCTGTAAACCTGGAACGATTTAAAGATCTTACAAAGAGAGAGAGAGAGAGAGAGAGGGCAAGGCGTGGAGAAGCTGACAAGTGTCTCCCTGTCAGTTTTTGTGTCTTCAATCACAGAACATCATGCTTTTGACTCCTGGTCATAAGTGGAAACAGGCTGACAGATGAAAGTCACCCTGACGACTTTTGATGGATGTTTGAGAACCGCTGTATGTTGGCGTGTGATGTATCCGCACAGAAGTATATAGCTGTGTGTATGCGTTTTCAAGTTTCAATTTTGCATGTATTAGTTAGCGTTATGTATAGCTGTAGAACCTTCAGACTGTAACATCTACAGAAGAGATGTAGTTATAAAATGTTAAAAAAAATTTTAACAGAAAAAGCTGCTATTCACTCCATTATGATTTATGCTGGGGACGAGAAAAAATGTGTATGCTTGTGCATGTGTTTGGGTTGCTGCATGTGTGTTTTAAACATGTGAGGTTATGCGTGCATACATGTGAAAATGTATATGTGTGTATTTGTGTCTCTGCAAGTGGGTGTGCACATATGTGCTGAGCAGCAGTTACTAAACACATCCATATGGTTAGTGCACTGGATTTGGCATGATGTTGGTGATTGCACATCCAAGGGTTATAGATGTGAGTATTTTTCTATTGGAAGAGAAAGACAGTGGAGATTTGGATGGATGACAGTTGGAGTTGTTCCACTAAATTGAACTTCAAGCCTTTGCTCTTATTGCAAATGCAGATATTCCATTCAGAAATGTCATCTTCATGTGTAGGAATGCACATATAGATACTACTCCACCTACACACTCTCTGTCCAAACTGACTGCCAGGCATGTGTGAGTGTGTGTGCGCGCGCGCGTGCACGTGTGTGTGTTTGTGTATGTATATACATATATATCTATATATATAGATATATATGTATATATATGTATATACACACACACTCACACATACACACACACTCACACATGCACACACGCTCCCTATCATCTTCTCTGTCTTCCTTCTTCTACTTGCCAAGACAGCTGGCAGCCATGTGACTGTGAAGGGGTTGTACTTCCTGCTTCCTGTCATTATAATAGATGGTCTGGTGTGGATTCCACCGCCCTCCTCCACCAGCAACCACCACGCACATACACACACGTCTTTCCTGATCAGCATCCAAATGGCCTGCCTCAACTCCCCCCATTTCCTTGACAGACCCAGGAATAGATCCTTTATTCAACAAGTGCACAACCACTGACTCACATACGTGTGCTGGGAGACATACATACGCATATGTGTACACATACATACCAGAATCATAATCAGGTTTTTTAGTCAAGTTTATTTGTGCACACAAGGACTCCACTTGTCAGATGCTGTAAGTGTACCTACACAGAGCACCAAACCAACAAACACGCACAAATAAACAAATATACAACTGTTACAAACTGCATAGGGCAATTAGGCAAAGAGACAAAGACCAACACTTAAACATACAAACAAATAAGCATGCAGCAGGTACTGTAGACAGGTCAAATAGTGTGTGTATACATACAGACAAATATAAACACTGTGACTGGTTAGCGCCTGTAGCAATGCTATATGTCGTTCGTTTATTTGGTTTGTTTGTTTTCAGCTTCTAACAGCATGTTCAGGAGGTCCTTCTTTGTGTGTGTGTGTGTGCGTGTGTGCGTGCGTGCGTGTGTGGGTGGGTGTAAGTGTATGAGGGAGAACATCTGGGAGCCAGAACAGAGCTGTGGTGGTCTACAGGGAGGTGACCCTGGCCTTAGGAGACCCTCCCTTTGCAGACTACCACAAAGCTTGTGTGTCTGGAGGAAGAAGAAAAGGGGCTGATGGTAGCACCTGCCTGCACTTCTGGCTGTGTTTGTTCAGGCCAATTCCTGGTGTTGATTACTGAACCCAATATGCACGTAACACACATCTCATTTTCAGGTTGCAGCTACAAGTTGTGCACACAATTAGGTATATTTAGTTATTTATAACTGTAAATATTTAAAAATGTGGAATGCTAAACCTAAGTGAGGTCATGAAATGATTCATGCTCAATAAAATGCTATTGACCCTAACCTACTGTGAGGTTGGACACCTGTGTACCCTCAGAAGTCAATCTAACAGTCTTGTTTGAGCTTCAAACGCAGGGTTGTGGTCCATTCATATACTTTTGCGTGTGTTACTTAAATACATCTCTGTAGACTGTCAGAGCGTGCGTTGTTTTGTCAAACTGTTCTGTGTAGCCTGTAGCCTGCAACAAAAACATATACTGTACAGAAAGAAAAGAGAGTGGGATCAAGTGGGGAAGAAACCCAGCTGCAGGCTGCACTGATGTCTTAATGACGGTGGTGTGCCCCAGCAGTGTGTAAAGCTCTATGGTTAGACTTCTAGTTGTTTGGATATGTATACAGTATGTTTGTAAACCTATGTGTGTGGCTGACCTCTGGCCTGTCAAACAGAGAAGACAAATATCCAACAAGAATTAGTTACAGTATGGAATAATCATCATATAAAATGTCATATTCTCGTGACCAAAAATATCATATCTAATTATTGACACACATTTTTAAAGGCCACATCTGGCCAACTGGTGCTTTTTTTTGCAGATGTGTTTCCTGTGACTAGAATTATTGTTATCCCTATCAAATGTTATTAGGGTCTGGATATATTAGATGGTTCCTAATGTGGGAAATAGTTTCACATTCTAACTGTAATATTGAAATTGTGGCATGAGTGTGTGTGTGAAAGGAAGGATAAGTGAAGTCTCATCGTAATCACTTTAAACAATCATTGCCGGATGACTCAGGGATTCTCTCATGGGTTCTTCTCCTCATGAACTTCTGACCTCCCCAGTTCTCATATCTGCCCTTATGCCAGGGGTGGCTGGCTGCGTGTGTGTAAGACGTGAGTAAGCTCTGTAGGAGTGTGTGTGTGTGTGTGTGTGTGTGTGTGTGTGTGTGTGTGTGTGTGTGTGTTCAAACCTGAATGCAGCTTTATCAAAGTGGATTGATTTGATCTGACTATGTGTCTTTGTGAACACGTGTCTGTCCTTCTACATACAAGTTTGTGTTTTAAAGCTCCCATGTAGTGTGTGTGTGTGTGTGTGTGTGTGCGTGTGTGTGTGCGTGTGTGTGAGTGTGACTCTCATTTAAACCAGTTAATGATATGGTTTTTCATTTCCGTGACCAATTTGCCTCCATATAATTGTCATGTGTAGCTGTCTATGTATGTTCCTTTTCCCACTGGCTGTTTAGTGATCCGTCTGTCCCAAGTGTCCATTGTGTCAGGCAATCGGATTAGCCCCAGTCACGGTTGGCTCCAGCTATTTACTGCTATCCTAATGGGTATGAATGGACATGCTTGTCATGAGGGACGGACGCTTTGTCTAAGGACATAGCAGGGAAATAAAGTAAGGCCTAATGTGGTGTATGATAGTAACCTAACCCACTGAGGTCAAACAAAGTGTGTGTGGACTAGTTAGTGTTTCATGCCTCTATCTTGTGTTTAACCAGGATGATGTGTTCTTGAGGAAGGTGATTGAGGTGGCTCTTATTTCAAACTGACTATATGCTTTTCACCCAAAACACAAATTAATGTAAATAAAGACTGAAATTTATGTCAATCGGAAGTCTTAGCTTTAATCACCCTTATTTTTCTGAATATACAGTAAGTATTTGTGAACACAAAAAAAGGTTATGGCCAGCAATGTTTGCAATGTGACAGGTGGACGCATCCTCGCATTTGAAGTTACACAATATTTCTGCGTTAACAAAGGGTCAAATGACTGCATGCAATGTGAAACGCCACACAGAATTACCACCCAACTCTGCAGGTCCCCTCAGCTGTATGAAGCATTTTGATGTCAGCTCATTGGTCCTGTTTTTTATAGACCCCAACTTTGCTGTCTCACTGCTCTCATTAGCATAGTTTGTTTCCAGTTCAAACACTACAAAATTGATCCAATAAGCCCACTTTACACTACCTGCCCAGCACCAAATAACAGACAGATTTAGCACCTAGCTATTGAACATGGTGGAGCATTTTACAGCTACAGAGTCAGATATTTCCCTCAGGAGTTGGAGACCAAAAGACAAAACTAAAAGGAGAATGAACATTGGCGTTACATAGCATAAAACACAATTTCAAATGAATGCTGATGTTTCTTCTGAATCTGCTGGATGTGTAATTGGGCCAAAGATGTTTGCCAAAACAACTTTATAAAGTGATAATATGCCAGTGTTGTGTTCCTAGCTTGTTGTGCTGCTGCCAAGGGGCCAAAAAATCTATTAATGCAGATTTATGGAAATGCAGAAAGGAAATGTTTAATATTAAGTGAAATTAAGTATTTATTATAGAAACACATTAAACTAGAATCTACAGTTGAACAAATTGCTGTTATATCGCTGTAAAGCCAAGTTATCTTTGAATGTTATTATACCATCAGTGTAGTACACTGGTGAAGTGTTTCAGGAGTTTCGCTGAGACTGTGAACCCTCTCACATGTCTTCTACTTAACCACAGCAGTTGAAATGTTCCAACTCCATTCTCTTCAAATCTTACAGAAATTGTAGAGCCAAGTTTCAAACACTCTTCACAGGGGAGGAGGAGGTGAGATTTCACTTAGTTCCAGTAAAATGTGGGCAATCTTTCTGTCTCTCTCTTTGTTTCTCCCTGCATCCCTTCTCTGGACCAACCAATCCCACTTTGCCATGAACAGAGTCAATGTCAGTACTCTGACAAACCCACTCTTTTACTTT